CTCCGGGACGGAGGGAGTACACTTTACCATTGGAAAAAGAGAACAAGAAAACCCTTCCCCCATCTTTATATACGCAGGCACATGACAAACCAAAAACAAAAAAAAAAAGAAAAGCAAAAAACGTAATGGGAAGAGATCAGGAACAGCGCACCGCGAACGAAACTTGACCCATAGGCTTCATCGCCAGAGGAGGCAGCCGCCAAGACGCCACCGCTGGTTCACTGTGGTTGCCCGTCATCGGTCAACCGACGTTGTTACTCCACCACTGCCGTTCTTCTTGCTCGTGTTTGGTTTGTTTGATTCTTTTTGAGTAAATTCCATTTGGTCCTTTATAACAGGGGGTTTCTCTATTTAGTCCTCTATTATCAAATATTACCTCAGTGGTCTTTCTTTTATAGGTATCTTTCCATAAATAGTCGTTTTTGATCTTCTATCATGTTGGTGTTAATTTGAGGGCTAAAAATGCAATTTTACAATGATAATGTATCTTTTTTGTCATACACAATTCCAAAGACTATTCCGTTTGCATCGTTTGTGAATTACAATCGCTTTATACTACAACCATAGTCTACAAAGGTGGTCTTTCTTCGGAATCCTAGCCCACAATCATAGTCATTATTTTTGTGTTATCCACTTAACCAATATCTGAACACGTCACTAGACATAATGTTGATGTCAAATTATACTGTAACCCTTTAAATTAACACCAACATGGCTGAAGATAAAAAAGGACCATTTGTGGAAAGCACCCTTAAAAAAAAGACTACGGGAGTAATATTTGATAATAGAGGACTAAATATAGAACCCCCCTCCTGTTATAAAGAACCAATTATGGAATTTACTCATTCTTTTTTATTCGTTAATTAGTCGAGGTGAGTGTGTGGACATCTAACGCTAGATTTCGTATATAGATTTGAAATTCAAGTTCGTGGTTTCCTATAATTGATTACATGGTTAATTTGATTATAATTAATTTATGATTTATTTATATTATATATTATTATTGGAATTATTTGAATGAAGATGACCAGGTATGTTTTCTCACTTTAAATTGTGTGATTTGCATGATAGTAATCTTTAAAAACATCATATGTATTGAATGATTTGGAATTGAAACGACTCTGGATGTTTTTGTATAAAACCCGACCCAGACGGTAGCTAGGTACCGCCCCACGGTACCATGCTACCGCCACTTGTTACGTAACTATGTAGGTAGCTGAAGCCCGACGGTATACTAGTACCGTGCCGACGGTACCCAGGTATTGCCTGGCAGTACCGAGGTACCGTGACGGGTACCGTACCGACAACAGGAATTCCGTTATTTGTTTGTTTGACCTGATTTCAAACCCGAACTGACTCTGAGACCTTATGTCTTGCATGACGGTAAATGGAAGGTGTTTACACCCGACATTAGGCCGCTATTTCGATTGCATGATGATTTACTTAGCTATTTCTATTCTCTTAAGTTATTGTGGATATAATGTGATATGCCTGGTACATATAAGGTAAACTGAGTTTGTTGATAACTTATATCTGATTAATTAGAGTAAGTTAATGATGTGGGTTATCTAGAAGAACTCTAGGGCTACTTTGTGAAAATTCAGATTGTAAGTTGACAATAGGTTGTAGAGCCTTGTGGACTTAGTGTCCAGTGGCATTCAGGTAAAGATGTACGTACATGGAATCTGGGATCTGATCCGTAGGAGTGGAGTTTCCACCCAACCGGCGCCGTAGGTACCAGGTTGACCAGAATCATGGTCGTAGGTAGTGGTTTTGATGTCATAGAGTAGACTTGAGTTATGGCCGTAGGTAGTGGCTCTAAATCCTAAGATAAGATTGTGGATAATGATGAGTTGCCTTAGCCTAGTATAGGTTATGAGCTAGTATTTGATATGAGATGTTGTAAGAGGCAATGTTGAATTGATAACTTATGCAGCTGAAGAATCAAGGTAAGTGATCTAAAGTATGATTGTTATAACGTAGTTGATGTTTCTGATAATTTTTATGTGATATTATTACTGTTGTAATTATGTGCATCATATTGTATGAAGTTATGAGCTAGTGTGTGCGTAGTCGAAATGTTAGATATTTCTCACTTAGCTTCAATACTGAGCGTGTAGCTCTTTGTCCTATTTGCTACTCGTAAGTAACATGAACGATGGATAAGAAAACTATCTTGAAGGGCAGCGAGGGAAGAGAGGTGGATAGATGCTAGCTGGAGAAGTTATCTAGTTTATTTATTGCATTTAAATTTACTATGGGCAAGGACCCCAAGTTGTATTTTGAATTAAGCTTCCGCACCGTTTTTTATTACTCCGATGAATATTTAAATATTGTTTTAAATCAAATTTTTTAAATGGTTTTGAAATTATTGTGTTTGGATGCCAAATTAGTAGCAACCCGGTTCGGTAAGACGTTGGTTCGGGTTAGCGGGTTGGGGTGTTACCCTCCGCCTTTCCAAGAGCCTTTCGAAGTGAAATTTCGTGTATGTGAGCATGGAAACATCTTTTTTCCGGAGGGTTGGGCAAGAATTGTTGAGGCTCTTAATCTTTAGGAAATACATATTCTCTTTTTTCATTATGTAGCGGATTATGATTATATAATTAAAGTTTTTTTGGAAAATGGACGTGCGGTGGAATATTAATTCGTGCCACCGACCTTTAATATGTAATATTTTTATATTAAAGAACTAATGAATTATGTTTTATTTTCTGTTTTATTTTTCATATGATATACCAGTAGTCCTTACTCTCTTTTATTTAGTTATAGGAACTGATTCATTGCGTGCTTCTTTAAGGCTCATAATGGCTTTCTCGATTAGGTATAAGGCTCACAATGGCTTTCTCCCGCTCACCTATGACTGGCCAATTTTAGGGGGCACGAATGGTCAATGCTTAGTGCATGACCGGTTGTTGGGGAATCCTCGACCTTCATTTGTAGTATTTCTAGTAGGAGAATTAACACCATTTTTTTAGGTTTTGGTTCCAAAACGAGGATTCACAATTACAAAACTTACTAATCTTCTAGACACATTGTAAGCGAGATCAATTACATATCTTGAATTACCAACTCGGTTATTACATCACTCACCACTTTCCCTCCCGGGAAAGTTTTGGGATATTTCCCAAACATAGCCACGAGACGTGTGGCTTTGTTTTGGATCCCGAAAACATTCTCGGGTGGAAGTGGTGAGGGATGAATAACGTAGTCGGTACTTCAAGATGTGTTATTGATCTTACTTTAGATGTGTCTAGAAGATTACTAGGTTTTGTAATGGTGAACATCTTTTGGAAGCAAAACCCAAGCAAAATGGCGGTACTTCAAGATGTGTTATTGATCTCACAATGTAATTGAGAAGTCCACTGTAGTGTATGGAAAAACTCGTTCACTTTGTATTTCATGTATTAAGTGTTGTAGATTACGCATATGAATTTAATAATGTAATTAAGAGATTGACTTCAGTGTATGAATGGATTGGATTAATTCGAATTTCATGTTTTAAGTGTGGTAGTTTGCTAATATGTGCTATATACGAGTGTATCGAACATTTGGTTTACACACATTGGACGTAGTGGTAGATTGTTCTTATGTAATTCATAATTGGAACTGGGATGCCGAGTGTAATGTATGAAAGAAATCATTCATTTACCAATTAACTGACATCGACACACTGCTACTTAACTTTACTCTCATTTGAAATTCAAGAATTCAAATTTTGGAATTGACTGCCTGAATTGAAATGAAATGCTAATACCCAAACATTGTCTTATATAAATTTAATTAAGAGCAGTAATGTCTCAAAAACTAGAGTAAAATATATTGCATAAGTTGGAATGTACGTCTTTGTAGCGAAATATTAGTTTACAAGAATGCCATAAGTGATCAACTTTAAAGGCATTACATAATTGTTTTAGGACAATAATGTCTAATAATAATTGTAGTTGTGCGGTGGGATTATGCCGTAACAAAAATTACAGTTTTTTCAATATTTCTAACACATAAATGTCTAACATTAAAGATCATTGTAAACGTTAGTCTTATGTTGCATCATAATACAAAAGCTAACCAATAATTAAACAGGGCCATGAATTGCATTACTTTGTATTTCATGTTTTAATTATGGGTTCGATAATATGATCATAACTTAAAGAATTAAGCTAGGGGTACACCAACATGGGGTACCCCAAGTGTACACCAAAGCCAATACAGACACACACAGACACAAAGTGTCTGTGTTGCACAGACATTTTGTGTCTGTGTGTGTCTGTGCTGGCTTGGTGTACACTTGGGGTACCCCATGTTGGTGTACCTCTATCATTGCCCTAACTTAAATTGGGATGTCGACAATTACATGACGTCGACACGCTACTACTTAATACATGAAATGCAGTGAAGATGGCACTTCTCAATTAAATGAGGTCGACCTATGAAGTTGACCTATAGCTCTCACAGTCGACTTATCAAGTTGACATGTAGTCCCTAGTCGACTTACTACTATTGACATATATTATCCTACTCCATCCGTCCCCATTTTGATGACAAATTCGTCCCCATTTTGATGACAAATTCGTCCCCATTTTGATGACAAATATTTCTCTCCTCTTGATAACATTTGTTTATTTATGCAAATTCATTAAGTATTTGATAAAATAAAATATTCTTGTCACTTCTTGTTTTGTAGATTTTTTGACGTAGTTTTTTAAAATATAATTTTTTTCTTATTGATATACCAATTTGTAAATAAAATGATTTCAAAAAGTGAAATTGTTTTCCTCGTAACCCGTAATTTGTAATCAAATTGGGGACGGAGGGAGTAGTTAACACTCGAAGTAATCCATCATTGAAAATGAAGCGATGTTTCGTTCCTTTTCTAGTTCAACGCACCAAAAGTCTCGCATACACATTGAGTAAGTACACATTAATAAGTTTTGCTACCGTAACACGAAATTGCTACGGTAACGTCTCCAATGAAATTATCGCATACACATTAGGTACACATTAATTATTTTTTGCTACTATAGATAATTTTATGAAATTGTACGCTACGTTTAGCTTGAGGTTTTTCATTTGGATCCTCCCTATTTATACATCTCATTTACATAATTAAGGTAGTTTTCAGTTTATGGGCGAACTAATCCCGAGATTTGCACGATCCTCTTTCTTAGGCTCTTTTTCCGCGACCTAGCCGCATCCCTCTTCTTGAAGGTGGACTCTCCGCAGCGCTCTAATCCGGTCCGTCTAAGGCCCAAGACCGATTTCATCCTTTTGCGGATACCCACGAGCGCTCGGGCACAGGGTTTGGGCCACCCATCAGGTACCGGCCCATCACAAGCCCCCCAACTCCTCATTCCTTAGACGGGCCACGTCGGGGGATGGGGAGTTATCGAGGTCCACGTGTGCCTCCTCTCAACGGATCCAAGTTGTCCCTTGATATCCGTGTGGTGGTTGGCTCGATTACCCCCAAAAGCAATCATAACCTGCTCCTTCGCCTTCCACTCTACTATGATAAAACCGCCTCTAGACGCCATTTACAACTCATCATTCGTCTGCTTGCTTTTTCGTTGTACCCCGACCTATTTTCTTCATCTCCAGGTCAGTCCATCGTTCATCATCATGTTGTGTTCAGTTTTAGAATCTCCTTCCCCGTCTTCTAGTTCTCTTCAGGCTGATCAACCTTCCGGCCAGGATCAGTTCCCACCCAGTACGCCTCAGTCGTCATCGGCGGCCGTAACTGGCCGGAAACGGTGTAGGCTAAGGAAACAGTTCTCTCCTCCGGCCCTCGTGTTACGGAGCCCTAGGGTTGAGTTGGAGGAGAACATTATGGCCCTATGCCATTGTCAGATTTCAGACCAAGGCAGTGGCGGATCCAAGATTGTGAATGACTGGGGGCAGTATAGCAAAGCGGGGGTTCGGGGGCAGAGCCCCCGATTTTTTTAAAAAATGTACTTTATATCATGATGAAAAAATTAATTTTATATCAAACAAATTTAAAATAAGAAAAACAAAATATTTTAAAATTAGTAAAATTATACTCCATCCGTCCCAATTTAATTTATAGCGCCTGTTTCGGTTTACAATGTTTGACTGAAACATCATGGCCACGCGGTTGACATGGTCCTCTAATCAAATATTTTCTTCTTATTTCATCTCTTTGATTAGGGTGATACTCTAAAATCTTTTTTCTGTCTGAAGGATCGCACGGAAGATCACTTAAATCTATTTCTTTAGCTATTGAAGGATGTCTACCAGGTCTTAGTGCACAACAGCCACAACTCCCCCTGAAGGCAAATTTTTTGAAGAGGTAATAGATTTTTGTATTTTACTTTATATGAAAAAATGATTTAGATACAGGTTTTTAATCTCTTTTAATAAATTTATATAGTTAACTCTTAATTAATATTTTTAGAGACTAGAGTCATCAATTCATTATTCATATGTTATGGGACAATTATAAATTATAATTAATAATAATCAACAATTCAACATACTAAACAATTTCATCAAATAGAAAATTGAAATATAAAAACAAATTACTCAAAAGGTTTCACACCAATCACACATTACACATAAATCTAATTTTCACATTTATCTAATTATTTAGTTCATAATTTAAAAAGGAAACAAAATTATTTGGAAATACCTGGTGGCTGGTGCTCGACTGTTCGGTGCTGCTCGGCGGCGACGCGGCGGACGGTCGACGTCGGACGGGCGACGACGACGCGGCGGAATGTTCCGGCTGTTCGGCAGATTCGGTCTTCTGGGTTTCTTCTCGATTTCTGCTCGGCTCCTCTTCTCGATACGGCAAAAGCAAAGGGATTAGAGAAGGGGAAATTATATTTAATTTTTAGGAATTGGACAATGGGTGAATTGGGCCACTTTTTGGATTGGGTCTTAGGCTATTTAATTGTTTTGGGCCAAACTGGCTGGGGGCAGATTTTTTTTTAATTGGGGGCAATTAAATATAAACATTAAAAATATACATATATATGTATTAAAAAAAATTCACTGGGGGCAGCTGCCCCCATATTCTCCTTGTTGGATCCGCCCATGGACCAAGGGTTCGCTAATGCTACAGATATGGTCGGCCCCGCCATTGAAGTTTGGCGGCCTAGCAAGACCGAAACTGCTCTGGATGCTCCCCCGGGGTTCTTCACAGCCCATCTGGCCTCCTTGAAGAGTGGGTTGCGGTATCCCTTGAACCCTCTATTGGTGGAGTTCCTCAATGAAGTGGATCTCCTCCCCTACAAATTAGTCCCAAACTCTCATCGATATATTGCAGGTTACTTAGTCAAGTGCCAAGAGTCTAATGTGACCCCTAGTCTGGACCACTTCTTGTTTACCTTCAAGCTCACCAGGGGCCACAAAGACTCGGCCTCTTACGCTTGTCTCTCCCAACGATCGAGCAAGCTCTTCACCAGTGACAAAAAGGGGTCTACCAATGACTGGAAACCCTTTTTTGTCTTTGTCTCTACGGGGCCCGAGTCTCCTTTTACTGGTTCTAGGCACCCCTTGTACCGTCGCATCACGCCACCGCTGGCAAAAGCCAAGATCTTGGATGACACGAAAAAGCTCTTCCGTGGGGGGGGGGGGGTCGAGATTAGAACGGTGGTCACTGAGGAGTCCCTCGCCAAGCTCGGGTTTGAGTTCGTCAGAGGCGATCATCGCCACCAACCACCCTTGCTGAATGATCTCCACACGAGAAACGCCAATTGAATTCCTTTTGGTAAGTTCCCCCTAGCTAAGTATTCTTTTCACCTGTTACTCATTAGAGGTTAACCATCTTGTATTCTCTAGTCGAGCAAGAAGGAGAAGCAGAGGACGACATGGAGCAACAACTAATGCTGCACCGTCTCAAGGCTGAGAAGAAGAGAAAGAGGGATGCAGCCCCCAAGGCGATGAGCAGTGCCTGTCCTCAAGCCACGAGGGTCGCTTCGTGCTGGACCAGGTTGTTATCAACATGGAAGACCAAGGAGAGGCGACTCCCGCAGTGGAGACGGGGGCAGTGGTGGTTAGCTCCCCCATCGCGCACAAAGGTTCTTGGGAGGAGTCTGCTGGGAGCGACGGGAGCGACCAGGGATGCGTCTTCGCAGCGACCTCCCCTTTCGCTTGCCTTGACCTTTGAGGTGCAGACGGAAGGTGGCTTGATGAAGTTCAGCATCCCCCACCATCCCTCTTCGGGCATAGAGGAGTTTCCGCTGGAGACGAAGATCGTGCTCCCCTCCACCGACCAAGCCTGCATTTCCGCCAGTTCCACCCGCGACCTAGCCAACATGGTTCTCCTGAAGTTCGTCCAGGTACCTTTCTTGGCCGTTTCTTCTATTGTCACTAAGCTTTGTTATGTCCTTGAACTCTCATTCTTTGGTGCAGGCTCCCCTCGGAGTGCTCGAGCTCGCCCGCCGGGCGAACGTTCACCAGTCCACCTTGGACGAGGTGAAAGAAGCAACCGAGGCTGAGAAGGAGCTGCGGGGCGAGGTCGACCGCCTCGCCAAGGAGTTGCTAGAGGAAGGGCTCTGCAATTCTAACCTCTTGTGCCGCATCAGGCAGCTCGAGAGAGAAAACTACGACCTGAATGGGGAGAAGACTTCATTGTCTTCCCAAGTGGAGTCCGTCTCTACCTGGGTAGCCGAGCTAGAGGTCGAGAAGGGCGACCTGGTCTGTTGTCTGGAGGGGGTAGTTGAGACCTTCAAGGCTTCCCCGGAGTTCCGTGTGACTGTCATGGAGCAGATGGAAAAGTTGGTTCTTGAGTGGGTCAAGACCAAGCCCGAGGAAGATTGGATGGTCGAGCAGGCGAAGGTCTCCTACCAGTGTGGGCTCTTCCAGGCCCAACAGTTCTTCCGTTGCAAGCTATTCTTGCTTCCCAAAGGAACACCCCTTCTTGATTTCGGCCTTCCTCCTCCTTCGGATAACATTGATGAGTTTGACCCCACTCCTTACATGGAGGAGGAGGATTCTGATGATCTCGAGGGAGGAAGTGAGAGAACTGGCCCTTGCGACCAAGGCAATCAGGGCGATCAAGGAGAAGGAGCTAGCTTGATGGCGACCAAGGCTAGCGAGGGCACGGGCGCATGATCAGCCTCTTCTTTTCCTTTTATTTGTATTTTCCCTTTGATTCCTTGTAAAAACTTTTAAGCACTTATTCTTTTTGCCGCCATGTTGGTTTAGACTTGTTCCCTTAATTTTTCACTTAGTGCTTGTGTTTGCTTTACTTCCCCTGTTTCGCATTTCTTTTTCCTTCTTATCCTGATTTGCTTAGGCCATGAGCGGGCCCAACCTTGGGGGCCCAATTTCCCCCCTCAGGCCCACTTGTACGGCGAGCCCAATCCATCAACTAGCTGAGCGCAGCTGGCCAATCACATTGGTCTGTGTCTCTGTAACGCCCTATCAACCGGCCTATTAGCTAGCCAATATTTTAAAACAATATTATTTATTTATTGAGACTCATTATTTTAAATTAATAAATATTGAGATTTCGATCCCTTCAAATGATTTCCAAGGTTAATGTATTTTAATAACGGACCTCTCAATATTAATTACTTAAATAAATTAATGATTGGGATGGATCTGGAAGTTTGGAAATAAAGTTTCTAGAAAAATATTTTGAAGATGTCATAAATTTATTTTTGACTGGTTATTTCCAAAAATGCAATTGGTTTTCAATTCGGACATGTTCGGGGGGAAAACCGCGTACCGTTCAGGTAAGATTTTACATAACGGAGCGAATTTATGGGAAGTAACTCCCCTTCCCTCTCCACACGCCACACACCCATTGATCTTCCCTTAACTCCCTATTCAATTCCCCTTTAATACCCCATCATTATTCCATTAATTCCCTTCAATATATTAGGCTCTCCTCTCCATTTCCATTAGCGTTTGTAACCCTCCAAGCACTCAACACTTAACCATCCCTCTTCCCTTTTCCTTTGTTGTGTTCGGCCAAGGCAGTAAGTGGACAAGGGAAGATTCCGATGAGTAGACGAGGAGGTAGAGGAGAAGGAGGGTCCAAGCGAGAAGCCATTGTTAGACGTCCGTTCGTTCATCCGTTTTCCGTTATCGTTAATCCCTGCGTTAGAGGTGAGTACGTTGCCCTCTAACTTTAGAATTCATAGTTCAATCATATCGTTATATTCATAGGATTACCCGGGTAAACATACGTGTGTCCGCATTGTCATGGTTATTCGTTATTTAGACTTTTCGACTATAAACTCGTTAATATAAACGTTTTGAAACCTTGTAAGTTCATCGATTATTTAACATGGAAATGTAAACATTCATTTTTAAAACTTCCAACAATTTGATGACAAACAACAGATAAAATGGGAATCAGCGTGCCTTGATAATCGAGTTAAAGGACAGTACAATCAACTATCAGGCCACACTGGACTCCTCAGTTGATTCAGCACATCGTGATAATCGATTATCACATATGTGATAATCGACTATCAGGCCCTACGGATTCTTGGGTCTGAGTTAGCTTCACTGATAATCGATTACCACACAAGCAATAATCGATTATCAGGCCTCTCTGAACTTAGGATTTACAGGACAAACCAACTTGACAATCGATTGTCATAAGGTGACAATCGACTATCACAGTTCGCAGCACTTTTGGAAGAGAAGCTGCACAGCATGATAATCGATTATCAACGATGGATAATCGATTATCAGCCAGTTCTGAACCTAAAGCCATCATGTTAAACAAATCAATTTCATACGGAATCAAACCTATATGTATGTGTTGAACTTCATTCATCAAGCAATGCATTCATTTCATCATGTACATCCTAGACGCATGTCTTAGGATCATGACATACTTGCATACCGCGACAAGAGGTCAGGCCTAGTGCGCCTCTTTCGCGGGCCCATCTAGGAACCTTCGGGATCCAACGGGTTTCATCAAGAGGGCTTGTGTACGTACATGGTAACTAGGTATTCCGTTACCACCCACATTTCTAGGCTCCTTCTGGAGACTAAGGCGTTCCTCGGCTCATCTACCGCGTGGGGATGATCACCGAAGGGCAGGGGTGTCTCTGCGCAGTCTAACACATGCATCATGATTGTTTAGCATTGCATCATTGTTTATTTGTAAACTCTTATTATCAAACTTGTATGTGGTATCTCGTACTTTAGTACAGGTACAATTATGTTTATATCAATGTGAATGCACTATGCGTTCTACTGTAAGATTACCACTCAGCTTTTGTTGAGCGTATAGCGTTGCTTTTCTTTACTATACGCAGGTAGGCAAGAAAATCATGGAGCCTGACCCGGATGACTGGGAGATCGGGGCGGAGGACAAGCGATAGTGTGGACCCAATTTATTCTCAAATTCATAATATAACTGTTTTGGGCTTGAACCCACTGTTGTTGCATTTTCTTACTTAAGTCTTAATATTTATTTACTTTTATTGCTTCCGCAATGAAACGTCTCCTTAAAAGTTAAATAAATTCTCCCAACGGTTTTATCTGTTTTAAATATATAAAAGGTTTTTAGTACAAGAGCAACGCAAGGGTTTTCCTTCTAGACAGCCTTAAAACCGTCTACGTAACCTCTCCGGCTCGTTGGGCCGCTTCGAACTGGGTTCGCGGGACGGAGGGTGTTACAACTAACCTTTCTTCAACACCAATCCTCTTCATGAAAACTTTTATCTATCATTTTCCATGTGCTGAGAAGCATCCACCTCTCTGAATCTCATCAGCAGTCCTTCCCTTGCCAGAGCCCATCTCTTCCCCCAAGTCCGTTAATTCCAACGAATGGGGGGCTAGACCTTTACGAGTTCTCCAGTCGTCTCCCTCGCCGCCGGTGGTCCACAATGAAGCCGCTGCCGATTCCGCCAAACCCTTAGGACGACTTCAACACGGCTACCAAGGCACTTATGGCTAATCGCCTTCCTTCTAGGGAGATAGATTGGGATGCTCCTTGCCCTATCCATGAGAGGCGTTACGCGGCTTGGAAGAGTGTGCAAGATGAACACCTTCCCCTATTAGAGCAGGAAGTAGAGTACAACTTGGGTCTGGAGCAATGGACCTGCGAGAGCCGTACCAACTCGCTGGAGCCGAGTCAAGCTGCTATTGTGGGGGAAGAACTGGGTTCCTCCCGGCAACTATGGGATGACCCTTCCCCTCCTGGGAGTCCCCTAAGCGACCTGGAGTAGCTCCAACTTCTCCTGGTCTTTTGTCCTCGCCGCGGGACAATGCCGATTAGGGCTCACAGCGCAAACGACCCATCCCTTCTCTACACAGAAGAAGGAAGGTGGGTGTTTGTCACTGGTGCTGGTGGTTGGGGCACTCCGTGCAACCATTGTCTACATAACTACCCTCCACATTTTCTTTTGTTGTCCTTATTGTTTTTCTTTGGTAATAATGATCGTATGGGCATGCCTTGATGTGATGGATGTTCTTATGAGTGTAAGTAAAAATGTCTTGTTGTAATGAATGTTTTCACAAATGTATGAAGTTGTTTTGATATAATGGATATTTTCATGAATGTGTCTTGGCATTACCTGTCTAATCTAATTTTGACAAGTCTTACCATATCTCTTGGACTTAGCTTGGTCTCGTTTGAGTGTCGTCCTTAATAGCTAGGTCACTTCCCCCTCTAGATGAGGCGGCCATATGCTACTTGACTTAGCATTTTTGTGGGGGCTTTTTTGCCCTGACGTCGTCTTATCCTTCCCCGGTCACGTTATTTGGCGCTCGTTCAGGTGACCAATGGATTCTGTATTTCGCTCCCTTTAGGATAGCTTAGTGCGAACACCGTATGGCCTTGCTTAGCGACTCTTCTTGGTCGCGCTCTTTTTTATGGAATGAATCAAGATCGATAAGTTACGAAATGCTGACTTTATTGAATTCAAAGACGGATCATAGGAATGTTACAACTTATTGATAAAATCTAATAAGATTAGCACTAATCCACACCCGCAGAACATCTCCTCCCGTTGGGGTTTGTAACTTGTATGTTCCGTCGGCCATTACTTCTTTTATAATGTATAGCTCTTCAAAGTTCTTCGCAAGCTTTCCAACGCCTGTCGATCTGCTGACCTCTCTCTTCCTTAGAACCCAATCGCCCTTTACAAATATCCTAGGTCGCACCCTCTGATCATGGGATGACTTGAATTGACGGCGATAATTTTCGGCCCGGATATAAGCCTTTTCTCTTCGTTCATCTACTAAGTGGAGTTCAGCCGTCAAGTTCTTCTCATTCTCTTCTGCATTAAAACGTCTCTACCCGATAGCTTAAGAATGAGTTTTCTACTAGGGCCCTTGCTTCGAACCCATAAGTCAGAGTGAACGGGGTTTCTCCAGTAGCCTTCATTGGGGTGGTTCAATAAGTCCACAAGATGTAGGGTAGTTCCTCTACCCAGACGCTCTTGCACTCCAAGATCTTCTTCTTCAAGCCATCAATGATGGTGCGATTGGTATTCTTGACCTCGCCGTTAGTTTGGGGATACCCGACCGCTGCATAGATGTGCTTAATTCCCCAACTTTGCAAGAATTCATTAAATACCCTAGCCTCGAATTGGGTTCCATGATCGGTGATGATCTGCTGGGGGACCCCAAAACGGCACAGGATCTGTTTTGAAACGAATTTCCTCATCTATTTTTCAATGATGGTCCGCACGGGAGCGACTTCATCAACCCAGGCCACTTGGTAAAGTAATTAATTGCGACCACCAGATACATGTTATTTTCTGCTCCTCTTGGGAAGATACCGACCAGATTGATTCCCCAACGGGCAAATGGTATTGTTGTGCAGATCAGAGTGTAATTCATTGCTGGTCGTCCTGGTGCCTTTTGAAACTCCAAGTACACTTTACATCTGCGAACATATTGTAATGCCCCAAAACATACCCTAATATTTATTGAATTAAATAAACAAATTTGTTTTGATTAAAAATAAATTGTTGTTGGGCTTTAGGTCAAAATAAAATATGTTCTGATATCCAATATCACAATCAGGGTAAATCTCATAGAGATAAATCCAATATGTTGACTTATTCTGTGACCTTGATTGGGAACCTGAGTACAGACCCAAAATCAAGAAATAAATTAAGAATTTGTTTGTGATGTAAACTTTGAAATGGTTTATTGAAATAAATCATGAGAATAAATAATATGAATTGAATATGAGCACCTTTTTGAATAAAGGTCAAATAAATCAATTTTGACTCTGTCAAAGTCAAACACCCAAAAATATCAAGTCAGAAAAAGTATAACGAATAAATATAAAAATTATATCTTTGGATAGATTGTAACTGTCCGATCGCAACGGTGCAAACGGAATTCCATTCGGAGAAAGTTTGACCAAAAAGTGTACCCCGACTGGGACCAAATTAGTCCCAATAAGGGATTTGCGCTGTAAATCTGTAGGAATCGCAGTGTGCTCCACTGAGACGCCTAAACAGGAATGCAGACATCACCTTGGCTTCTTCTTCATTTCCTCTCCTATTTAAACCACCATCAACCTTCTCATTCT